ATAGCAACCAGGGCAGAAACCGCTGGTGGAGTAACAGCTGCTCCTCACACTCCTCTCCTGCAAACTGTCCAGAGCTGTCTCTTTCCATGCTGTAAATGGACGTGCTTAAAGGTGATAGAACAACAATTAAGGAACAGTTTTTACTTAAAATTACGTTTTCCCAACTATCAAAACCAATGCAGGGTAGAAAACTGGGAGAGTATAGAAAAGAATAAAGAAAAGGTCACCCTTAATTCCATCACCCACAGTAATCTTTATGAACACATTGGCATATCTGCATCCAGGGTTTTTCTCTGCAATAGTTTTCACATAGCTGAAGATTAAGGTGTATTTATAGTTACGTGTAACTGAGTATACATAGATAAGGACTCAGTTATGTTTAAACATGTTCAGTAATTTTGTGAACAAGTCTTGGTGTGGGTACAAGGAGCTAGAGGGTCACACCATCCTGAGTTTGCATCTTATCTTTGCTTTTCTCAATTGTGTGAATTGGGAAAGTTACTTCTCAGAGTAACAATTTCTTTCACCACTTGTAAAATATGGTTAATAACAGGGCTGAAGTGGGCCTCCCCTGGTGGCACAGCGGTTGAGCGCTGGGCTGCAAAGCTGCCTGCAGCCTCTGCAGCACCGGTTCGATCCCCGGCCACCGGCGAGGGTGCCACATGGCTGGCAGACCTCTCCTGCCACCCGCTGCTCCCCTCAGTGGTGTACTTTGTCAGTCTGCCTGTTCTGTTCCCCGCTCTGGCTCTGGTGAATTCTCTCACCTTCCCGCACTTCTGACTATACCCAGTGCTTGTATAAATAAATAAATCTTTAAAAAAAAAAAAAAGCAGGGCTGAAGTCCCAGGGTGTCATGAAGATGAAGTGACATAATGTATGCAAAACATTTAGTATGGAGCCTGGGATGGAAAGTTTCTCACTGATTACCATGTAAAGTTTAGTTTGCCTTTCTGACTCATAGCAGAGAAAAATCTGTAAATGGGATGAATTTCTGGGTCCAAGGAGATGATAGTTTGATCGTTTACCAAAATTGAGAGGAAAATTTCAACCAAGATCTCGTGTCTCTAACATCACAGCTGTTCTCATTTGTCTCTATATTCTTCTAGGTCTGTTTACACCGAACACTTTTAAGCATTGCAATTACAATGCTTTCACCAGTTTGCTTAATGTCACAGCATCGACATCTCCCTAAGCTACTAAAGCTGTCATTGACACTACAATTTACTTGACTAGTTCCTTGTTGTTGAATATCTGAGTGGTTTAATTTTTCATTCCTTCATTTGAGAAATAGTTATGGAATGCCTACTCTTCCAGACACCGAGCTGGGCATTGGGATGTGGCCAGTGAGAATGGCTTCTTATACTGGCTCCTGGACTCTGGTCAGAGAGACAGCCCATTCCCTGCACTATAACAGACAGACCATGAAAAGTAAAGGGAAAGTAAAAACTCTACTTATAAGAGTGAAGGGCAAGGAGAAAAGCTCTAGAGAGAACTACTTGTGAACATATTTGTGTATTTTTGGGAATCAGTCCTAGTCCCCAATCTGCTCTTCACTCCTCAGTAGCCACAGCTGGAGCTTCTCTTTGAAGCGTTCCCCTGTGGATTTTCTACTAACACATTTAAGAGTTTCCTGAGAAGTCAGAGCTCTCTGTGGTGTTCAAAGACCTGGCAGTGAGCTCAGATAGAACTTGTTTCCTGTCTCCCTTCCTCGAGAGTGTGTGTATCAACCGGTCCAGTCTGCTCTCTGCTCTCCTGAAAAGGCTTATGACAATTCCCTTCTTGCATGTACATTCACTAAGCCTTTTTCCTGCCTCACCCACAACTGAAGAGCCCTGGCAGCCTTCAAACCAATGGGCAAAGGTGCTTCCTTGTTGGGGAGAAGCCTGTATGGGGGAGGCTTGGTGGGCACAGCACAGGCTGCATTTCAGCCCCTATGAAGCCCCTGGGGTCATCGGCATGACTGAACGTAGCAGCCCTGCCCATGGCCTCTGGAGTGGCCTTCCTACCTACTTTCTAGCTATCTGCTTCTTACTGCTTTCTAGCTATTGACTTCTTATCTGCTTGGGTAAGGCCCACTTGATATTCTGTTGCTTATATGAAGTCTTCCTAAGCTCTCGAATTCAGAGTAAATTCTCCATTCCTTGAGCACCTAAATAATTTTTCGTTTTTACTCTTTGTTTGCTTGGCACTTAATTGTATGCTGCCTTGATTCCTCTTGTTATCCTCTTTTGTATCATTATTTTATCTTCAAGATGTTTGATTTAGATTTAGAAGTCTGAGGTAAGAAGTATCTCTGTAGACATATCATTTACACTGAATGCTGAAGAAGAAGTAGGCAGAGATCTAGGAAAAAAGAATGTTCCAAGCAGAGAGAATGGCACGCAAAACCCTCAAGGTAGAATTTTGAGCTGGTAAGGCCAAAATGATTATCTCTACGTGGAATGGCCATTCCAGATTTAACAAATCAGAAAGCAACTTATTAAGCCATGCGTTCATATTGCTTTCTGACACTCTCTATTTCTTAGTCTCTGATAATGGGGATAGAGATGAATCAGACCAGACATGTTTTTTCTAAGTGTAACGGATGATTTCTGTAGAGTCAGACAGACAGACCATAATGGAGGGCTAGCATGCATGTCAGTAGAAGAAGAGAGAGAGAGAGAGTCACTGCCTGTGGATACTGAGAAAAGCTTATCCAAGAAGGAGAATCTGAGTAGGGTCTGACGTAGATATTTTCCAGGCAGAGACATAAAAGAAGTCCAGACTGAGGGAAGAGTTGTGTTCAGAGGCCTGGAGGCAGGGAGAGGAGGGTGAATTCAGAGGCTGGAATCCAAAGGATCTCTTAGGACAGTGAACATGCTTGGATTTTACCTGAAGACAGTAAGAAACCAGGAGAGGTTCCTGAGCAGAAGAGTGGCAGGAAGGGCTACTGTGTGGAGAATGGATGGGGGTATGGTGTAAACTGGAGTCAGGGAGACCCTCGAGAAGACTGGTGCTTTGGCCCAGGCTACAGGTCCAAGTTGGGACAATGATAATGAGGATGAAGGAGAGAGAAAATGTAGAAGAGACATTCAAGGAGGCCAGGGAGAGGAATAAGTTAAGACTTTGCAAGAATGGGTGGCTGAAGTGGCATCCCTTACCAGAACTAGGTATGTCAGGGGGGATGATAGGATTTGGGGGCCATAGATTGGTGAGGAGAGATTGTGGGGGACAATGTGGGCTTCTCTTTGGTACCATGGACAGCTCCAAAGATCACCAGAGGACTTGAAATAGAAGAGTTCCGTGGTTCTTGATCTGGGCTGCCTTAGAATTAGCAGAGGAGCTAATCTAACATGCAGACTCCCAGGCCCACCCCAATGTCCCGCGTCAAGTCTCTGGAGATGGGTCTTGGGAACCTGATTCTAAGTAAGTACCCCAAGTAACTCAGGTGCAGTGAGATAACTGTACTCAAAGACTGAAAGAAACCCATGCTGGGCTCCAGGGGAAGAGAAGAGTGTGCCTTTTACTGCCAAAAGGAAGGCTGGGTCTTTTGAGTTGTGGGGGGTGAGGGTGGATGAGGGGCACCTGCTGCATGCTTTCGCCCTACAGTGCAGTGTGGCAATGGTCATTGTGTGTAGTTACTGTCTTCATCCTGGGGTGCTGTTACACCTTCCCAACCCCATTCCCTAGAAAAACAAATGTGGTTTCCTGAAGGGAGAGGGAAAGTCCTCACCTTTGATTGGCATAAAGATATGACAACCCAGGAGAATTGAAAACAGAGATTCAAATGAGTATCCATGTGCATCCATGTTCATAGCAGCATTATTCACAGTATAACCCAAAACAAACACAAACCCAGTACAACCCCTTATTCCCCAAACAACCCAATGTTCACTGAGGAATAGATACACACAGTGTGGTACATGTCACACGAGGGACACTATTTTCCCTTAAAAAGGAATGAAATTCTGACACATGTTCCTACATGGATGACGGTAGAAGGCATTAAGCTGAGTGAAATTAGCTCGACACAAGGGATGGATTTTGTGTGACTGCACATATATGAGGTATTTATCAAGTTCAAGGAGACAAATAGTAGAATGGTGGTTGTCAGGGGCTGGGGGAGGGCAAGTGGGGAGTTACTGAATGGGTGCAGGGTGTCATTTTGAGAAGACGGCACCATGTTGGTGATGGATGGGGAATGTACTTAGTGCCACTGGACTGTATACTTAAAAATGGTTCAAAGGGTAAATTTTATGTTACATTTATATTACTCCAATTAAAAAAATGACACCTTATGGCGTCATTTTTATTATGAACCTACAGGTTGAACTCGACTGGGAGCATCCTGAGAACAGGGAAAGGTGTCCCCCCCTGCCCCCCGAGTCAGGGAGTTCTCCTAGGATCAGCAAGGTGTTGCTTCAAACGACTGCTGCTCCGACGGCCTGGATATGTCCCGTCCATCTTCAGACTGAGGCGCCTCCCGATGGCGGAGATCCCTCCAAAGGGTGAGGCTGTGCCTCCGCCATCAGAACTGGGGGTACCATAGCCAGAGTCTGTAGGGGAGAGGCAAGGTGGGCCTCTTGTTCGGGGTGATGTATCTCCTCCCCAGGCCTCATAAGGCCCAGGATTCCCATAAGTGGCCTTCTTCTCCGCTCGAGCTCACCTCCAGACTCTCCCCTCAAATTCCGCGCCTCGGGAAGCCAGCTGGCTTCTGGCTGGGCGGGCTCCGGAGGCCTTTTGCCCTCATCCAAGATGGCCGCCGCCGCCTCTGTGACAGGCCCGGTCACGTGAGGACGCCCGCCTATGAGGTCGCCGGGCTCGGACGTAAATTGTCCCTTCCGGCGCCCCATCCCGCGGCGGCGCCCGCCCTTGTCAACCGGAGCCTGAGCGATCATGGCAACGGGCTCGGGCGGGGAGCGCGTGGCAGCGGCGCCGGCGGCAGCAGTTTGGGCGCGGGCCGGGGCGGCGGAGCGGCGGCGGCGGCGCTGGCACCGGCGCTGGCACCGGCCCTGAGCGCCATGCAGCGGGGCGGCCCGGCGGCGCCGGCGCGCGGGAGTGAGGCGCGGGCGGAGGCCGCGGCCGGGGCGCGGGAGGCGGCGGAGCAGGGCGCGGTGGACGCGGGCGCGGCCGGGGAGCCGGAGCCCCAGGCGCGGGGGGAGCCGCCCCCAGCGCCGCCGCCGGCGCAGCCCCGCGCGGCCGAGGAGGGGGACGCCCGCGACCTCCGGCGGCCGCCGCCCGCGCCGTCCCCGTCCCGGTCCCCGTCCCGGTCCCCGTCCCCGTCCCCGTCCCCGCCGAAGCCGCCGTCCTCGCGGGGCCGCTGCTCGCGCGCCAAGCCCGGGAGCAAGGGCCGAAGCTGCCCGCGGGGCTCGGGCCGCCAGCCCCAGGAGCGGGCCTCCCGGCGGCGCGTCACCGTGGACAGCTCCAAGGCCAGGACCTCCCTGGACGCCCTGAAGATCAGCCTCCGGCAGCTCAAGTGGAAGGAGGTGAGGCCCGGCCGGCCCGAGGGCGGGGGGGGGGGGTGCTGGACAACCTCGGAGGGCCGGCGCGGCCCGGGCCAGCTCTGAGGGCCGAGCTCCTGGCCGCCACGCTGAGCCGCGTGTCGGCCGCAAGCTGTCCATCCTCAAGGCCTAGCCCAGGCTCGTCCTCCGGGAAGGCGTTCAGACCCCTCCAGGTCAGGTCGCCACTCCTCCTGTGGGGCTCTGTCTGCTTTGTAGACGTTTGTTTGTATGTCTGTCTCCCTCCACCAGCGGTGAGTTCCCTGCCTGGACCCTCTCTCTTCTACCTCTTCATTTAAGTTCTATTTGCTTAGCACTTACTGCATGATTCTCGCGCAGTTTAATAGTTTGTATTTTGGGGCAGACAGACCGAGGGTCTCACTGCCCTGCCACTGATTAGTGCGCCCTCAGGCAAGCTCCTTCTCTGTTTCCTCGTCTGTAAAGTGAGGCTACTAATACCTCTCTTGTGGTTCTGTTAGCATGAGAAGACTCATTGCCTGTTGTAGGACGCACAGGTGTGCAGTAAATGGTCTTACCACCCTCTCCTCTCTCTCCTTCACCATCACTGTCACCGTCACCATCAGCATCAGCATCCATGTATTATATGAACCAGGGCTTGGCGTATGGCAGGTGTCAGTGAGTGGCGGACGGAAGGGTGGATGAATGAATGGGTTATTTGTCCCTGAGCCCGTTTTAGATGTGGTGGGGCTGGGATGAAGCACCAATGACATGGAGATGCCCGTTGAAGCAGGTTGAGTGTAGCCCTGAGGCTTTCAGGAGCGCCAAGGCTGCCATCTGGGCTAGGCAAGTCCAGAGGTTTAGACCCAGATGGCCACTGAGGAAACAGGACCTGCAGCAGGCAATGTGAGGACTTAGCTGCTAAGCCCTGGGTCTTGGTTATGGTAGATGTTCAGGAATGGGAGGTGCAGAGATATGGCTGCGAAAGGATTAATGTCTCAGCATGAAGGAGTAATGTGGTTTGGAGGAAAGGACAGACTTCCTGGTAAGGGAAGTCTCATTCCAGGTGCCAGGGCCTTGGGGCTTGGATTTGGGGGAGGACTTTCGGGTCTGGGGAACATGGAGAAGTTGATGCATTCTGGAAGGGACCCAGGTCCAGGCCAGAGATATGAAGACCAGAACAAGAGAAAACTAGAGAACTTGTCAGTCCCATGGTCCTCATGAAGAGAGGATCCGGGGACTGAAACCAGGCCCCAGAGTCAGGCAAAGCGGCTTGGCCCAAGCAGGGCCTGGGCTGAGCTTAGCCTGTGGGAGAGAGACGTGAAGCTGTCTGGATCCCCAGAGATAGAGCCTTGTGGACTCAGAAATCTGCAGGCATCCATGGCAGCCCAAATTCACTCACTCATTCTCTAAGTAACCCTACACATTAAAGATGCTTGAGATGTAACGCTTGCTCTCAGGACCTTACGGTTCAGTAGGGGATGGAACCCATTCATTGCACTGTTGCAGGGCCTTTGCTGCTGCTTCCTGAAATGCTGTTCCCCAGTTATTTGCTTGGCTTACTCTGTCTCTTCAGATCTCTGAGCAAATGCCACCTCCTCCAGGAAGCCTTCCCTGCTGATACCTGCACCCACCCTTGTGCTTCTTTATTATTATTGTTGTTATTGTTGTTTATAGCATTGAAATCTGCCTTAAATATTTTGTACTGCTTGTTTATTGTCTGTTTCCATCACTAGAATGTAAGCTCCATGAGGGCAGGGATTTTGTTTTACTTACTGCTGTATCTCAGGTGCTTGGCACAGAGAATTTGCTCAATAAATATTTGATGAATGGATAAATCCATTATGTGACGAGTGTTTCTCTCTCAGTGAAGGCATAAGGTCAAGGAGGGGAAACCTCAGGAAGAGCTTCCTGGAGGAGAGAAACTCGAGCTGAGTTCTGAGTGCTGAAAAGGATTAGGAGTTATTTAGGGGTCATTGGCTGGAACCCCAGGACAGGGAGCAGTATGGGCAAAGCAGAACTACTCTGGGGTTAGCACGCAGTTCTGTAAAGTTGGATTTCAGAGTGGGCCAAGAATGGTGAGCAGTGAGGCAGGAGAAGTGAGCAGGGTTCGATTATGTGTCACACTGTGGGGCCTGAACTTTGTTGAGGAAGACTGTGTGAGCCTCTCTAGAATTTTAAGGTTCTTCTACTTCTTGACTATACTGCTTTGGCATGAGAGTTAAGCTCTTTAGGCCTTAGTTTGCCTGTTTGTCAAATGAGTGGGCAGAGCTTGTTCAGTGATTCCCACTCTCTCTCCAGCAACAGTCACATCGTGTAATGCTAATCTACACGCCACCCTTGCACTGGTGGACCCAGTGGGTGGGTGTTCTCCAGCATGCACCCCCTCCACTCCCGGCGCTGCCTTTCTCCTGCTCAGAAGGCATACTGGCATGTAAGTGGAGATACCCATTCCAGTATATTTTAAAACATAATTCGCTCGCAAGAATAAGACTGTACTATTAAATGTATCATTGTTTACTGAATATCACTCTTCCCAACTGGTCTGTGCGGTCCTGAGTGCAAGAGTGGTATCTGACGTGTGTCCCCAATGCTCCAATCGAATACACACTGGTGTTCAGTAAATGTTCATCCAGTGAATGGAGGAAATACATCAGCGCTCACATCTCTCAATACCCTGGAATGTGGAGTTTAAGAAGTACCAGACTAGGGACACTTTAAAATTTCTCACGGTACTCTTAGCACCCACTACAAAGTTGACTGCATGGCAAGAAACATGTGGCATAAACCAGGTTCTAACAAAGTGCAAACAAGTGGCTTCCCAGGCCTCAGTTTCCCTAGCTGCTACAGGGAAGATGTTGGACAAGATCATTTCCCCGTGCTGATGTTCTAGGAGCAGGAACCCCTGTTGGGGGTTGAGGCTTGAGGAGTGCACCCCGGTGTCCCTTGCGGGTCATATGTACTGCTGGCTGGCGGGCTTTGACAGGGTAGGCGGCTCGCCTAGTAAGAGACAAGGTCGTGAACACCAACCAAAGTAACGGCTCTGCCTCCTGCTGTATGTGCACAGTCAGGGGCCCTGAGCAGGCCAGCACCAGCCCGCCAGCAAGTTCAGATGTTGGCTCTACATTTCCCTTCTCCCCTCTTCTCTGTTCTGCGCACATCCCCAGCCACAGCAGTGACAGTAAACAGCAGCCCCTGTAATGAGCCCTCACATAGCTCTGTGCCCGGCATTCTTCTCAGTGCTTTCAGATTTGCAGTGATTTGATTCTCCAACAGCCTGATTCAGTAAGTGCCTGGTTGTCTCCTTTTCATGGGGGAGGTGGGTGGGGTCCTTAGAGGTTAACAGCCCAGGCCATACAGCTGGCAAGTGGCAGGACTAGCATTGGAAGGAGGTCGACCATTCAAAACCAGTCTGTAGTTCTGTGCCCTTCCCCTGCCCTCTGGGGGCTCTCTACTGGCAGGCCCTGGGTTAAGGATTGCAATAGGATATGAATAGGGTATGAATAGGATTCATTTCTTGCCCTTCAGCAGCTCCCAGGGTCAAGGGACAGACAAGCACACAACTACAGTCTCCATTCTGGAAGTTGAGCGGGTCAAGGGCATTTCATACAGAGTTGGAACAAAGGCAGGCAGTGTGGCTCGGGCCTGTGTGAAAGACGGGATGATAGCAGCTTAGGGAGGAGGTGGGAGAGCAGAGAGAAGGAAAAGAAGGTGCCAGATCACACAGGCTTGCCTAGATTCTCCTCCATAGATGGAACTTGCCTTGCCCAACCCTCAGATGATTCCCTTTTTAGTCCTGTTCACACTGGTTAGGTCCATTTCAACTGTGTCCACAATGTTAAATTTATTCCTCAAAAGAAACTTCACAAACATTTGCTCTGTGAACTTGTCGGAAAGACAAAAGTTCATTCTAGAATAGCCAAGTCCTGTTTACAGAGTCGCCTGTGAAGTGGCAACAGGAGAGAGAGAGGCCCCCTACTCGTAGTTGCTCGATGAAGGTTTGTGGGGCTGTCTGCTCCTTGTGCACTTGTGGGAGCCTTCCCCTCCGTCTTCTTTTGCAGTTTTGACGCCCTCATTAAAGAAAACCCCAGGGAAAAGACACCCTGGAGAATAGTTGCCACTCAGGTGAGCTGCCCTCCTTGGAGATGGAGGTTGTATACGTGTGCCCGTTGGTGCCATGGACACCACTCACAGGAAGCAGGGCTCCCGGAGACTTGATAAAAGGACTTTTGTTGACCACAGTGTGCATGAGCCCTGACCTAAGATCTTTTGTCTCCACATTTGTCTTCTGAAATTCATCCTGCCCTCCTCCGTTGCTCCTGCTCAGAACTTGTGCTGGTATTTTTTTTTTTAAAGATTTATTTATTTATTTATACATGCACTGGGTACAGTCAGAAGTGCGGGAGGGTGAGAGGATTCACCAGAGCCAGAGCGGGGAGCAGAGCAGGCAGAAGGACCGAAGTACCCTGCTGAGGGGAGCAGCGGGCGGCAGGAGAGGTCTGCGCGCCATGCGGGACCCTCCTCCGGTGGCCGGGGAGCAGCCGGGGATCGAACCTGCGCTGCAGAGGCTGCGGGCAGCTTCGCAACCCAGCGCTCAACTGCTGCGCCACCGGGGAGGCCCTGGTATTTTTTTTTTAAATTTTTTTAAAAGATTTTTTTTTTTAATTTTATTTATACAAGGACCAGGGTACAGGCCAGATGCGCGGGAGGGTGAGAGGATTCACCAGAGACAGAGCGGAGAACAAAATGGGCAGACTAACAAAATACATGGCTGAGGGGAACAGCGGGCGAGACAGGAGAGGTCTGCTTTGCCATGTGGGATTCTCGCTGGCCAGCTGGGATCGAACCTGCGCTGCAGAGGCTGCATACAGTTTCACAGAGCCACACTCAACCGCCTGCGCCACCAGGGAGGCCCCTGTGCTGGAATTTTTTTAAAAAGATTTATTTATTTATGCATACAAGGACTGGGATGTAGGCTGGAGTTGCAGGGTGTGAGAGGATTCACCAGAGACAAAGCAGGAAGCAGAACA